GGTAAGCACTAGGTGAATTTAAGTCTTGTGCTGGAATTTTCATAAGCACCAGAACGCTCCTATATTCCATATATTTTTACATTCCATGAAGTTTAAAGGCTACCATCTTCTGTTGACTTGGGACAGTGAAAGTAGTCTTTTCATCAGCTGACAGCACATAGCAAATGCTCGCCTATGTAACGTACTGAATTTAAAAGCTTTCAAGGGACTTCCCTGGGAGTCCAGTGGCTAAGACTGCACTCCCAGTGCTAACAGTCTTGGGTTCAATCCCTGGTCGGGGAACTAGATCCCACATGCTGAAACTAAGAGTTCTCATGCTGAAACTAAGAGTTCTTGTGCTGCAACAAAGACCCAGCACAGCCAAATAAATAGAAACAAATATTTCTTTAAGAAATAGAAAGTAAATAAAAGATTTCAATCTATGAGGACTTAATATCTCCCAGATACCTAGGGAGTGAGAATACATCCACACAAATTCACAATTTAAGATTTTTTTATGTTAAACATAAAATACATAAAAGACGCTATTAGATATAATTCCTATTTTGATGGCGATGATGATAAAGCCACAGGAACCTGAGAAATTTAGGGCTGAAAGGGAACTTCGTGATCCTTTACTCCAGCTAGCTAATTTTGTAGATGAGAAAGGAACATCAGAAATGGAAGCACTTAAGCTATCCCCACGTCACACTGCTGGAACCAGAAGATGAGAATTCTGACTTCTAGGCTGGTGCCATCTCACCAACATGGTGCCAAGAACAAGATGTTTCCTTTATGTATTTTAGGAGACATCTGAGCTCACAATAAGAGGTCTACACTCTGCTCTCTCAACATCTGGATGAATCAGGATGAGTATTAATAAATGATCCACTTTTGACCTCAACTTCCCTAACCAAAGGAGTGAAACGCTAATCAATACTCTGTCTGATGCAGGGAAGGCTCATTCAGACGAGAAACAGATGGTCTGGGGAAAACAGCTACTCCAAGAAAGGACTGCTTGTAGACTGATGGACCAAGAAAGGAGTCTGGGTACTTTAAAAGGACTGACCAAACCCCAGACATGGAACCCATATAACCAACCAACAAGTTCCAATAAGTTATTATCAAATTAAGAACACAGTTCAAGAATAACTTAAGAAAAATAAATTAAAAACACTATGCAGTCCAAGGACTAACTAGTTGTGTAGACTGAATTTTAAAGAAAATATAAATCTCCATGCCCCTGCCTTAAGGTGGGTGGCATAAGGTGGGTAAGACACAGCATCTCATTCTATGGCTTCTGTTCTAGGTTTTCTCACTTTCCTAGAGCGTTCACACATGGGATGTTAATTTTTTCCCAGGTTTGATCCCTAGACAGTGGGCTTGCTAAGGACAGGGACATATTATCCAATACTCTTTCCTCCCTGCCAATCTTACAAAACATTCATTTAGTGTCCAGTCTTTATACCTACCACATCCCTGACTTCTAGCACATTGTTTGACAGCTGGTAAGGACTCAGTTTGTATCAAATAAATGAAACAATAAAACACAAAAGCCAAAGGCAATTTCCTAAGCACAGAAACCTCTGCATATCTGACTCCTTCATTAAAACCACTTAAATTCTACCTTACAAATCTGAAGCGTGCCCTCCGACATGCTCTGCTGTTGTGCACAGACCTGCGATGTTATCAGTTTAACACATATGTGATCTCTCAGCATGAATAACCTTGATGAATACTATATAGAATTTCAACTGCAGACTCCCTGACACAGAAGGCATATTCTATGACTGGCCAAAATGTCATGAGGGTCCATCGACCGTTCCCCTGTTTCTAAGCAAGACTGCATCTATTCTACAGCAGAGAGCCAGGTTTCTTAAATCTGAAAGAGCTCCACTGGGTGAAACATACAGGCAGCTGAAGTCAAGTTTTAAGTGTCTAAATGGAGGGTCAGACCTTGATTTCTCAAGGTAAAGTATGCTTTTCATCCCCAGTGTAGCAGATTTCACTGGAGTTCGATTACCGACTTACTTAAATCATTTGCTAGATGACATAAAATTGCTGGTAATCACACTACAAAGAGTAATTATCTGAACTCTCCTTGTACAAAGGCAAGTAAATTGAAGCCCTAGTCTATATTCTGTTAGGGAAATTTATAATTAGGTGTGCCATTTTATTTAAAAAAGAGAGAAACATAACAAGAATATATGTTCAGAAGTAGGGGGTAAAAAAAAAAAGGCTATTCACCAGTTTATTGAAATTGTACAAAAGGGAGTTCATGGACTGCTATGTGAAACAACTAAATTTCTTGAGTTTAATAGATTTTAGGAAGACCCCACACACAAAATGGCCTGCCCATATGTGATGCGTGATCTAGACTCCCTCTCTCTCAAAATAGTTCTTTAAAATAATATTTCATTATCCTGAAATAACTGGTGCCTGTGAGATGCCAGATGTAAGACATTTCATCCGAAACCTTCTGTAAACCCATACCATTCACTTTAGAACATCATCCTTGACACCAGGAAAGACTTTAGGTCCTGAGTTTGCATTTGCCTAAGGGACTGCCTGGCTGCTCTCAAAAATGGAAACATATGTGGGCACGATGAAGGAAAGGATTTGTAAATTAAGCAAAGGATTTTTCCTGTTCATTTTTAATCCTGTGCCTTTCCCCCACCTCTCTTAAGCAACATGACTACTAAATTCTGGTGACTTTTTATTTTCAAAAGCACAAAATCAAGTGCTTTTGCTGTTATTTTCCAGTGAAAAAACCTAACTTTGGGATCCATTTCTTTACAGCATGCTCACAATTTTTAAAGAAAAATAAAGTGCAGGCTCACACACATTGACTGGAAGAGAAAGATAGGTGGATTATTACTATTTATTATGATTATTATCATCATCATTATTAAATAGGGCTTGGAAGAACATACCTCTGTATGTCACAAAGAAAAAATTATTTGGTTTATAGCTGATGGAATCACAATGGAAGTGTGATTGGAGAGGGCTAACAGCAGAAATAAATTAGGACTTTCTGTTCTAATTTCACCTTCCACATGAACCTGTGTCCTCTGAATTTGTGCTTTTCAAGTTGTTTATATAATGCATAGGCACAGACTTTGTTTCAAGTTCATATGAGAGCAAATGCCCTTACTTAAGTAGGAGTGTAAATCCATCCTAGCTGGGATTGTCCAGCATACTTCTGCAAACTGCTTGCTTTCAAGTCAATCCCAAAATAGAAAGAACATCTCTCTCCAGAGGTGCACATTTTGAATATTATAAAACTTAAAACATGCTCTATTCCACATTTCAAATTAAAAATGCCAACAAAAGACCACCAAGAAAATAATTTTTGAAAAATATTCAATCTGCCTCCTGAATTTTGCCACCAGGGGAAAAAAACCCCAAACAAGAACAACAATAAAACCTAAAACCTCAACAAGAAAACTATGTCTTCGGTTTATATTAATTAGTTTTTTTTTTTTAAGTTTGCAGAATGTGAATTCAGGGTGTTGTACAGCTATGCTATAAAGTAGACTAACAAATGCTGACAATCCTTGTGTTTAAAAATTGAAAAATAAAATATGAAATAAGGACTATTTGTTAGAAATATTTTATATTGCTTCAGTTTGGTTGTAGCTAACACACAGCCAAATAAAGCCACGAAATCGAAAGAATATTCAATCATACTAGAAAAGTGAACATTTTCAAGGCAAATGAACGTTTGAACTTGGGCAAAACTGAAGTGTTTATAAAACAAAATAAAATGACCATTGCTCCAAGAAAATTTCTGGTAGGGGTAGTCTTGATATTTCACTAAGGATTTAAATGTACAAAATGCTTACTCTGATCTCCCAGAACTTAAATGTCTAAAGTGAAGCAGGAGTAAAAGTTAAAAGACATTTGTCTTTTTTGGTTTCTTAAACACTTCTTTGACTCCTTCACTTTTTTTTTCTTCAATAATTTATTCTATTTTTCTACCTTTGTACATACAAACCAAGTGCCCATCAAATCAGGCACCAAAAATCAGGAACTCAAACAGAGTTCACTCAGACTGACCTTCAACAGCAAGTATTGACATTTTTTATTAATTTTAACTCTTTCCCCCCCCCCCCCCCAGAAGAAACAAAACAAAGTCTCCTGGGTCACATCAGCAACCATTAAACGAAAAAGAAAGAAATAATGAGTTAAAAATAGAGGGAATGTGTTCAAACGAAGGAAGAAGGTTCATAACCAAAGTCTGACATCTTCAAAAAGAAACAGGTCCACACTTCATATCTGATTCAAACAGAAAGCTTCTCCTTTACATTTGAAACAAATAATTCCACCTCCAATCCACATTTTCTAAGAAACCCCTAGCTTTCTACATCTGATTCCTGCAACAGTCTCTATACCTCACTGAGGTTAAAAGCTAGTTCACATTTGGCTGTTTTTCTCCCAAACATTCCCACAGAACTCCTTGTAAATTTCAGCAGAAACTCAGCATTGTCACCGTGGGTTTCAGGAATGGCACAGTTCAGATATCACCCCACCCCCCTCCAAACGGAAAGATTAAAAAGACTTTGCCCAAATGTAGGGGAAAGGAAGGTACTTGGGCTCACTCTGCAGTTGCTGTGTTTAGCTCTGGGAATCTAGAGGTTCTCCCGGAGCTCGGACACCATGGGGGTACCCAGCGGGTGGGAGGGGAGTCGCCCTAAACGTTTGACGACCGATTTGTGAACTCTTGAAAAGTATATAGTTGTAGATGGATTTGCTCCTAACCCAGTAAAGTTCGTCCCAAGCTGCTTCTATGCAGACGTCACATGTCATTTTCAGCGCATCAGCCAGTCGGTATTGAAGTAGTGGATGGGGCGGGTGAGGGGGGTGGGGGTAGCAGGGAGGAAAAGTCACGCGTGAAAAACTTCTGGTGTCAAAATATGTGCCGAAGTCCCTGCCGGGGAACAGAAAGCACACCCACGTCTCCATCACTGGAGAGGCGGAGGAGAGCCGGGTGGCGGCGCGTCGCGACCTGCAATCGCGATATGCAATCTGATGTCGCCAACGAGCGCAACTGGACCGCAACCCAAAGAAATCAGCTTTTCGCGGAGCTAGGAGCAGCTCGCGGCTTCCAAAGGCTGAAAGTCAGCTCCCCGGGGTGGAAGATGCGGGGGCGGGGGGTCGGGGGGAAGGCCTGGGAGCCGGTCGCCGCTCGGCTCCGGGCGGGCGCGCACGGCGGGTCCCAGCTAGCGCGGCGGCCGGGGGCGCGCGGCAGGAGCGTCCCTCGCGAGGTGCCGGCCACGCCGCCGCCGCCGCCGCCCGCCCCCTCCCCCGCCGCTTCCTCTCTCTCTCCCAGCCCCTTCCCCCACGTGTGGGTGACGTCAAAATTCCGCGAAAAAGCCGCGTGGTGGCTCCTCCAGCGGAGGCGCGATTCCGCCGCCCAGCGGGCCCCTCCCGGGCGCCGGGGGCGGGGAGGGCGAAGCAGTGAGCCGGCCGGTTCCCTCTCTCCCGAGGCCGGGCCCGCCGACGCCGCGGGCCAGACGCCCCCCGCCCCAAATCTTAGTGGAAAAGTCACTTTTTTTTTTTTTATAAAGCGAATACATTTCCAGGGCTATTTTCGGCCGCGTGAGGCGTGTCCAGCAGCTGAATCAGACAGGAAGAGGGGGAAAGTTCGGGTCTCTTTACTTTTTATTTTTTTTCCAAGGGAGAGGAGGAAGATGTGAGGTGGGCGAATGGACGGCAGGCGTTCCAGACCCCTGTCTGTCACATCTGCCGCCCCAGGCACGCAGCCCGGGTTCGAGCTCGGCCCCCGGCAGGGCGGCTGGAGAGCGCAGGGCCCCGCCCGACTCTGTCCCCGCAGTGTCCAGGCGCCGCGGGGCCGCCGCGGGCAAGGGGCAGCCGTGCGAAGTCCGGGAAGCGCCCTCACACCTGGTGTTCCTGGGCCTGGCCGGGGGTGGGGGGGGGCGCTCCCGACGGCTCATCCCTACCCACTCACCCTCTGCCCCCGTGCGCTCCAGTTCCTGACCTGTCGGTCTTCCTCGTGCACATTTTTCTAACTTGCTGCTACCCCCCCCCCAACTCTCCCACTGCAGCTGCTCCTTCTGCACCCCGTCCGGTTCCTCCCTGGTACGCCGGGCGCCCAGAGCCGGGACTCGGACCCTCGGCCATCTACTTTCAAGCGACCGTCGGGTTTTCGGTTTTTACTGCCTGTCCGTCCCTAAATGGGAAAACCCCGACACAGATCTGCTCTAGGGGGGCTGTAAGGGGTGGGGGGAGGGCCTGAGCCCGAGCTCTCCTCCCCTCCCCCCACCCCGCCTGAGCGCCCCTCTGAGGACGCAGCTTCCCGTCGACGGCGGGATCACCTGGATGGGCGGCGTCCGCCAGGTGAGCTGGGGCGTAAGTGTGCTCAGCGTTGCAGGTTCCTGCAGAAATGTGCCTATAAACACCCTACACCTACAGGGTTTTGTACACTTTCCAACCGAAACTCCACTACGCGAGGGGTGGTGAGCCGGCCAGGGAGAGAATAAAAGTCCAATAAAACTGACGTTCGCTAAAGGTTATCACTGATCCTTCGAAGGGTAGGAATTTTTTTCCCCTCGAGGGATGGAAAAGGAATAAGGAAGAGCCAACATTATCTTCCCCCCCCGCCCCCAACAGTGACCAGTTTTGACTTAAAAGCCAGAGCACAAGTTTGGTTTTGGTTTTTTTTTTTTTTCTTTCCCCTCTAAGCCTACATCTACACTGAAAGAAAATGCGCAGGTTTGCCCAGAAGGCAACGTGCCTTTTCCCGCGTGCGAGACGGTGTGCTTTTTAACAAGCAAAATTAAGCTTTTAACACATGGTCGGAGTGGCGACCAAAAGGGAAAACTCAGTTTCCAGTCCAAGCCTCCCGGAGACATTCCTGCCAACCTCCGCACCCTCGCACGCCCCACCCCGAGCCTCGGCGCCCGAACCACTGGGGGATGGATTCGCCGCGAGGTTGCAGTTCGGATAGAGTCCGTGATCGGAAGGGGAAGTCAACGGGGAACTGGAAGGGGCGAGCCTGCCGCGCGGGGAGCGCCCGCACTGGCGGCTCTGGGTGGACGGAGAGGGCGGCGGGGAGAGGGGCACCCGCCTGCGCCCCTCCCCTTCACAACCGCCTCCCCCCCCGCCCCCGGCCCCGCTCCCCGCCGGAATTTCTCAGTAAAGCCAGACGGGTTTGGGGTTGGGGGGAGGGAAGGGGCAAGGGGGCCCCTCGGCTCGCTCCGGAGACTGGAGGCCCTGCCACCCAGGCTTTCTCCCCAGGGTGGGCGAGGCCCGGCGGACGACCACCCGCCTCTTCCCCGCTCCCCCCCGCCCCCCGCTGCCCCTCTTCAGGGGACCCAGAGCTCAGGATGCTTTCTCTGCAGGGAGGTGGAGAAAAGACCATGCTGGGTTAGTTATCAAGTGATGTCAAGAGGCTGGGGGCCCTGGCCGGCTTCTGTCCTTGCCTGTCGGGGTAGATTTATACTTTAAAAATACCTCTCTCGCCCCCACTGCCCCCCAGCCCACTCCACTCCCCACTCCTGCAGGCTTGCTTTGATCCGCTCAAAGGTGGCTGAGCTGAAGTTTGAGTAGTTCTTTTATGGGGTCTTAAAATGTAAGTTAACGTATTTATCCGGAGTGACTCAAGGCCTGAGTCGGGAAGTCCACGTTGACTGAAATCAATAGGTGATTGTGAGGGACCCGATCTTTTCCGAGGAACATGCTCCTGGGCCCCGGGTGTCACCCGCCGCGCGGGGCTGTTTCATTTTGAGTTTGCAACTTGGGTTTTTCAGCGAGCTTTTTTTTCTTCCCGAAAGCTAATGGCTTCCACCGCAATTAGACATTCTCCTCGCCCGCCCCCTTCCCTCCCCTTTCTTTACGTACAGTCGATAGGCTCCTAATTCCTGCGGCTATTGATAAGGTCGCGGGCGCCCGGGCCTCTCCCCAGCCCCCGCCCGCCCCATCCCCGCTCTCCCTCCGCCCTCTCTTCCTTGGCTTCCTTTTGATGTAGCGGGGAACGCGTCCTACTAAAAAAAAAAAAAAAAAGTAATCTGCCCGGTAACAATCAGCGCGCAGTAGCAGGAGACCCAGAGCTATTGGCTATGCAAATAGAGGGAGGGGAGACGGCGCCCCAAACTCTTACTCACCCTTTTAAAGCGATAGCCCCCTCCACCCACCCACCCACCCCTTCCGCCCCACCCTCGTGGAAAGGGGCTGGCCCCGGGGCCGGAGTTAATCGCTCGCACCTCTGGTTTTCTGCGCGCTCCCCGCGCTCCCTTCCACCTCCCCCTCCTTTCGGGGAACCGCTCGCCTGGTTCACCCATCCCGCAACTCCCCCCCCCCCCCCCCGCTCACGCTCGCCCTCCGTGCCCCGGTTCTGAGACCCTCCTTGCTCCGCGAGGGAGGTGCTGGGCTGACCTCGGGGTGTCGCGAGAGCCCCGACCCACGCGCGGTGCTCGCCGCACGTGCCAGCTCGGCCAGCACCCAGGACGCAGGGCCCGCTCCTTTCCCCCTCGGAATGAAATATCACAGAGGGCAGGGTGGTGGTGGGGGGGTGGGGTGGCGGGAGGAAGGAGGTGAGGAAACGCCCCCGGATCCCCTCCCAAAGCGGCTTTGACCGGAGGATGCGTCGGAGCACGTGTCGGAGCCGACCGCGTCTCCACCGCAGTCCAGCTCTCGGGGAGAAAGCCCTGGCTGCGATGGAGGCGTGAACCCGGAGGGTCCGCGAGGGTGCCGGCGAGGGACCTGGGGTGGGAGATCTTGGGCCTCGGAGGAAACGAAGGGGTGGTGTCGTTTGCGCTGGGGGAGAGACGGGGAGCCCAACCTACCCCCTCTCTCGCCCCCCTCCCCGCCCCCCCCTCCCCGGGCTATTTCCTAGAAAGCTGTATCAGTGTGGCCACGCTCGGCGCAGACACCTCGGGCGGCTTGTCAGCAGATGCAGGGCGAGGAAGCGGGTTTTTCCTGCGTGGCCGCTGGCCGCGGCGGAACCGCTGGTAGCCCTGCCCCCGGCCTGCGGCGGCTCGGGGCGCCTCCCCGCGTCTCCCAGTGGCGCCTGCGGCGCCCCAAGAACGGGAGGGTTTCTGCTCCTAGGTCACATTCTCCCACGTCGAAGAAGCGCCCCCTCCCTCCGAACACCCACCCCTCCGCCTTCTTCCTCTCCCCACACATCTGCGGGGGGTGGGGAGGGGAGGGCGGTGGCATGGGGCGGAGATGGGGGGGTAATGTATTCTGGTCCCTAGAATCGGGTTTCGGAAACCGGCTGAAAATGATCAAGAACGTACATTTCAGGGCCATACATACCCTTTTCCTCTGGGTATGCAAAGTTAACTGTTTCCCAAAATCGCCCTCCTTCGGGCTCATATAAGGGATCTTATTTCTCAATCGTCTGAGCCCACCTCATCTTCAGTTCACCCACCCGTCATTCCTGGATCTTAAATTCGTGGGCTGGAGTGTGGCGATCATGTTTGAGGAAGCCAGAGTCGGAGGGTCGTATTTTTGGCGGGATGCACCTACAGAATGTGCTGCAATTACAGGGAATATGTAGGGATCGGTGGGTTTTTTGGTGGTTTTTTTTTTGGTGGGTTCCCCTCTCCTGGGCCCCTGGCTTGGTGGAGGGAGAGGGCCTTGGAGAGCTAAGGGAGAGGGTGGGGGGCGGCGCGGGGGACCGCGTTTGAAGTTTGGTCGGGCCAGCTGCTGTTCTCCTTAATAACAAGAGGGGAAAGGAGGGAGAGACTGAAAGGAGGAGGGGAGGACCGGGAGGGGAGGGAAGGGGAGGAGGAACCGGAGAGGGGGGTGAGGCGAGAGGGAGGAGAAGTAACTGCCCAGCCAGTTTGCGTCACTGCCTCGGCGAGCAGAGAGCCGAGCGAGCTGGGGAGAGCAGACAAGTTTGAAGGGGAGGGCAGAGAGAGTCAGTCGCCCCCGGGGCGCTCCTCTCCCACCGCCCATCCTACCCCTTTTCACTCTTCTTCCACGGCTTCTCTCTCTCTCTGCCCTTAACTCTCCCCCCCCAAAAAACCCCCTTATTTAGCCAAAGGAAGGAGGTACGGGGAATCCTCTCCCCTTCCCCCTCCCAAAAAACCCCCCAACTTTTCCAGTCCGGAGATCGCAGGGGCGCGAGCGAGTAGCCCGCTGGCCATGGAGCTGCTGTGCGGTGAGGTGGAGCCGGTCCGCAGGGCTGTGCCGGACGCCAACCTGCTCCACGACGACCGCGTGTTGCAGAACTTGCTGACCATCGAGGAGCGCTACCTGCCCCAGTGCTCCTACTTCAAGTGCGTGCAGAAGGACATTCAGCCCTACATGCGCAGGATGGTGGCCACCTGGATGTTGGAGGTAGGGCTGCAGGCAGGCGCTCCCTCGGCCCCCGCGCCGGGTCCCCGAACCTGGGCGAGGGCAGCCTTGGGAGCCCGCCTCCCCACTCCTGCGCCAGAGTTTGCCCCCGCGCCCTCGGCGAGACGCGTGGCTTCCTCTCGGTTCCTTGCAGGGGGTGCAAGATTCCCGGGGGGAGGCGGAGAGCAGCGAGGCTGTCCCAGGGCGGGGGGGGTTGGGGAGCATCCCGAGCGCGTGTGCCTGCATGTGGCTGCCACCTCTTCCCACCGGCACCCACCCCCGCCGCGACCTTTTGCTAAGCCGAGGCTGCTTTCGGTGCCTTGAAGAAGAGAATAGGAGGGTGAACCCCGAAGTTAAAAACTGAGCTGCGCCCCCGCCCCCAGGCCAGGGCAAATGGGTCCCAGCCTCGGGTCCCCGCATGTGGTCGGGACTCCGCGTTGGCACTTAAGGGGGGAGGGGGAGGGCGGAGGGAGAAGAGAAACGGGGAATTCAGGAGCCCCGGAAGTCACACTGAAGAAACGTGTGTTTTCGGGGAACCCAGAAGAAGCACTTCTTTCCCCTTGCTCCGAACCCTTGCCGTGTGCCCACGTCTGCACGGCTCCGGACCTGCCGTGGTTTCGCCATGTTGCTTTGTAAACTCGGGGGTGGAGAGGCTGGACGCGTCGCCTGCTCCCCCTCGCACCCCACGACCCCGGTCCCCCCACTCCTGATGGCACCCTCGCCCCCCCATCACCCACCCCGCCCCCTCGTGAAGGTTACTTACGGTTCGGCCTTCAGTTTCCTGGGTGCGGAGATCTGGGTGGGGTGGGAGGGGGAGGAGGTGTGTGCAGGGGGGATAGCGGGGCCCCCCCCGAAGGAAAGGCCGGAGCCCCCCGCGCCTCTCTCCGGCGGCTCCCCGTCCTCGAGCGTCCCCCAGCTCTTCGCCACTGTCCCCGGCCTCTGCCCTTGTGGGCCGCGGCCGGACACTCCCGCCGCCGCGCTCTCCCCTGCAAGTTTCCCCTCGGGATCCGAAGCCCCAGGGGTCGCGCTCCAGACCTTCCCGGCGCCCCAAACCTCCGCTGCGGGAAGCCTGGGTCCTCTGCGGGGTTTTCACGGCGAAAGGGCTTTTCTGGGATATTTCCTCGATTTTTAATTATTTTTTGAACCCGTCTCCCCTGCTCCGACTCCGGCCGCCCAGGCTGCGCGGCGCTCGCTCCCTCCGCCCTCCCCCCGCTTCCCCACCTCTCCCCACCCACCCCCCCAAATGCGGCGCCTGGGCCGCGAGGACCCCTCCCGACAATTTTTTCAATTGTCGGGAATGATAGAGCAGGGTCTGGGGATCCGAATGAGACCAAGAACGAGACTCCCGGAGCCTCCAGAATATTTTTATTGATTTTTTGAAAAGATGACGAAATCCAAAAAAGAGAGTGAGTGAGTGCGAGCGCCCGGAGTAGTGAGCGGCCCACGGGGGCCGCGGGGCCGGCGCTGTTGCGCCCTCGGCTTCGGGGTCCTTAACCCCCCTCTCCTTTGAGATTTTAAGCTCCCGGGGAGGACCCCCGCGCGGATGGCCATGTAGATTGCCCCCAATTTCCTTGTCTTCATTCTTATCGCTTATTCTACTCCCTTCCCCTCCCCCCCAATTCAATATTTTTGTCATTTCCCTAGATTGTGCGTTTCCCTTTCTTCCTCCTTTCTTGATATTATGGTCTCCCCCCACCCCGACCCCTTCCCACTTGTGTCGTAGGTGTGTGAGGAGCAGAAGTGCGAAGAGGAGGTCTTTCCTCTCGCCATCAATTACCTGGACCGCTTCTTGGCCGGAGTCCCAACTCCGAAGACCCATCTGCAGCTGCTGGGGGCCGTGTGCATGTTCCTGGCGTCCAAGCTCAAAGAGACCATCCCGCTGACCGCTGAGAAGTTGTGCATTTACACCGACAACTCCATCAAGCCTCAGGAGCTGCTGGTAATGACTGCCTCCTTTCTGCCTGCCTGCCTTTCTGCTCTGCCCTGGCCTAATCCGCCTTGACCCACCGCTCCCAGAACAAACCCTTAGGACCCCAAAATACCCATCTGTGAAATGTCCACCTTTCGAGGAGCTCTGCCCTTTATATTGAGACTCCTTGTGTTCCTACTGTGTGCTGGACTGTATATACAAAGTACTCAGGCTCCGCCCATGCATAAGATCCTTCACAGAGGTTTGGGTTGGGGACTGTGTGTGTGTGTGTGTGTGTGTGTGTGTGTGTGTGGCGGAGGTATAGAACACAGTGATAATGTATATACAAAGTACTCAGGCTCCGCCCATGCATAAGATCCTTCACAGAGGTTTGGGTTGGGGACTGTGTGTGTGTGTGTGTGTGTGTGTGTGGCGGAGGTATAGAACACAGTGATAATGTATATACAAAGTACTCAGGCTCCGCCCATGCATAAGATCCTTCACAGAGGTTTGGGTTGGGGACTGTGTGTGTGTGTGTGGCGGAGGTATAGAACACAGTGATAATGTTTTACTTAAATTCCCAGTTTTCAATCACTGACTTCTGAGACAGTCATCAACCTCTCACATGATCCAGACATGTTGTGACATGTCTCCTAAGAGCTAGGAGTTCAAAGGTACGGTCTAAGGAATCTCTCGGACTCTCCAGCATAGCTGCATATAGTAGCTGTTCACTAAACACCAACTCACTGGCTTCTGAGCAGAGTCAAGTTTGGCCCTTTGTGGGCAGATTCTGAGGCGTGAATTCCCATCTCCGGTGGGGCTGGAACCTCTGTACAGACACGGGGGTCCTGTCTGGGCTCTGGTTTTCTGCCAGCAAACCTTTTTCCCAGCCAGTATCCCTTGTCTCTGCAGCGTCACGCTTAAGACGGCCATGTAGCTGCAGTGTGGCGTTGGTTGAGCGGCCCCAGAGGCCCAACTTCAGTGATTTGCACACCCATCTCCCAACTCCTTGGAAGAGGGGCCCCCCCCATTCCTCCCCTTCAACCTCCCTCCCTGCTGGCCAGGCCTGCACCGAAGTCCCCAGGGCCGGGACTGCTGCCTGAACTGAGTTCTTTGTGAGAGGCCTTCCTCCCTGAGGCTGTGCTGCCACCTAGCGGCAGACATGTGCAAGGACGGGGAGGAATCTCCGAGAATGCAGAGGGGCATGAATGACCTCACCTTTGAACAGCTGCCAGATTTCAGCTGCTTCTGGTTTGGTCGGAGAGGCCCAGAAAGGTGCTTTCTTCTGGGAGATCTGCTTCCTTTAATAATGGTACAAGTCGAGTGGTTTATACTCACATTCTCCCGTGAGAAGGAGAGCTGGAATTTCAAGCCGTCTTGGAAAGACCCTGATTGTTTAGGAGGCTATCTGTGTTTTTACCCCCAACCTCCGGAAAAAAAGCGAAGGCCAACATTAAAGCCAGCAAAGACAAACAAATGGGTAGAATTAAGATCCCGTTATTATATTTTTCCCCAAGGGAGACCAGGAAAAATTATCTTCCTTTTGCTTCACTGTTTCGTCATGATGGGGGGAGCTCAGATCTTTTTAGAGCACCCCAAGTTTTTGGAGGGTCTGCCAAGCTAATTTATATTTCTGCAGACACATCTGCCTTTTCCTAGTCTCTTTATCCCAGAAGTTGAGATCTAGAGGGGTCCTCCTATTTTTACCAATGAGGAAGCTAAGACCAGGGAAGGGGAGGGCATTGGCTGAGACCACACAGCTGGTGGGTGCCGTGGGTAGTGGGTAGAATGGGGCTCCGGTGGCTGGGGGGAAGAGAGTTTCCTCGGGTGATTGTGGGAGCGAGCTGCACTCTCAGGCTGCTCTTAACCGCTCATTCTTATGATGATCGATCGATAGGCCTATTCTCCCTCAGCACATATTTTTAAGGCGTTCTTTTTGGCTTGTTTCCCTTGAACACAATTCCCCCTGAAGTATCTCAATGAGGGAAAGAAACAAGGTTTTTTTCAGTAGGTGGGATGCTGGTGAGAGGCCCACAGACCCCGGGTTGCCTTGTGCCAGCATCTGGGCTGCGTGCTTCTCTATGACCTTGAACAAACACTTTCACCCACCCCTGAATCCCCTCCAGCCGCAAAACGGGGTGGCCAGTGACCCTCTGGTCCTTCAGTCATGGTAACAAAAACTTGCAAAAACCTGTATGTGGAAGGGTGTCATTTCCTGAGGTCTTCTGCATTGTGTGTGCAGTGGGAAGTCTTAGCAGCAGAGAGGAAAATGGCACTTTTTGGCACCAACGGCAGGCAAGGTAATTGGTTGCCAAGGATTTGGGCCAAGAAACCTAAATTTGAGCTTCATTCTGTGTACATCTTTTTTCCAGGAGGATGAAAAAAGACTTATTAATCCAGTCACTGATATATACGATAAATTCCTACCAAAGGGCCACCACGACCTTGGTGGTATTTTACTGTGGATTCAACCTTCTGGGTGGGTGGGTGAGAGCATCCTCTGGAAGTCAGGGTTGGGTGGGGAAGGAGGGGTGGTGTGCAGCTGGAGAGGCTGAAGAAATAGCAGAAAGGACCATCGAGCCAGCGGCCACCTGGGCACTCATTGATTTCCGGGGAGCTTGACATTTGAAGCCTTCAGAGCCATCACCCACTTCAAAACTTTAGGGCCACTCTGATAAATGGACCTGCCTTCCAGTCTAGCCTCGTGCTAATGAACATCCTCAAACAACTGGTCTAGATCCCAAGCCTCCCATCCGGGACACTGGGTCAGCCTGTGTGGGTTTTATACTCTTTTCTGCCTCCCTCCCTCCCCAGGAGTGGGAGCTGGTGGTGCTGGGCAAGTTGAAATGGAACCTGGCAGCTGTCACCCCCCATGACTTCATCGAACACATCCTTCGAAAGCTGCCCCAGCCCGGCGAGAAGCTGTCGCTGATTCGCAAGCACGCTCAGACCTTCATCGCTCTGTGCGCCACTGGTAGGAACTGCTGGAGCCCCAGGGAGGCGGGGTGGCTGGGTGCTGAGGAGGGCTTTGGGGGGCTGCAAGGGGAGGTAGACCACAGCCCTAACTTCTGAGCATTTACCGGGGGTGGGGGGGTGGTCCCCAGGTAGTCTCTTTAGAGTCCAAGGTTTCCTTCCTGGGCAGTTTTTTCCATCTTTTATCTCAGCTGGTATATTTTCTCTCTCTGCCAAACTCATAAATGGTTTACGAGGACAGGTGTGGTAAGGAGAAGAAAAAAAAAATAGTGCCTGTTAAAATATTCTTTATGGTGTCTAAAGTGCTCTTTTGAAGATTATTATATGCTCTCTGGTCGTGTTTAAATCTTTCATCTTTGGAGGGGAAAGGATGGCTTGGAGATAAGCCCAAGAGGAAATTTGGGGGGTGGAGGCAAATACAGGTTAAGGAACCCTGTCAAGATAAATACCGCCTGCCCTGTTACGCGGGAAGGGAAGAGGCCCCAGGATTTCTCTGGCAAGGCATTGACTGCCTCCGGCTGCTCCCTCTGGCGGGGTGGGGTTGGACCTGTGGACTTTGCAGCCGGGAGTCACTTCCGAAGCCTGGGCTCTGCTACCCTCCCTCCACGTGTTGAGGTTTTGATTGCAGCCTGTAACATTGCAATGGCCTTTTCATGTTAACAAGCGCTACACCTACCCTGTTGATGCCACAATTGATAGGTAATCTTGTTGGCCCCTGTGCCATTAACTAATACACTAAAGGCAGTGGTTTGATACAGTCTCATCACACTGAACCTTGGCCAGTTTCTACATTCCCCCCCGCCCCCCCGCCCCGCAACGGTAGTGGCTGTGGGAGAAACTCCGGACCCGCAGTCATCTAGGGTGGAGCATCAGGAGTTCATATTTTCACAAGCAAAAGTGTCAGGGAAAGAACTTGTTTGGGCAGATCTTTTTCCGCCCCCTGCTCCCCCCGCCCCCGGCCGGGAGGTGGGGGAGAGGGCGGAGTTCAAGGTTGTCGGGAGTCTGCACTTGCATTGCAAAGGTGGGCCTGGGGGTTGACTTCTTTCAGCATCTTGTTACATATTATACTGGAGCCCAAGGAGAAGAACACATTGTTTGCAATAGTGTCCATTCTCTGTTTGCAGTCAAAAGGTCTGGCTTTGCTACATACCACTGGGTGACCTTTGAGCGTGCTTAAGTCTTGTCTGAACCTTGGCTTCTTCATCTGCAAAACACTGACATTCCTACACCCCTTTCAGGGTGGTTAGGAAAACGGACATCAGAAGAGATGATGGGTGAGGAGGCCCTTTGTCAACCAGGTGTAGGCTATGGGCCCTAGTACTAACTGTGAATGTGACTCCGATGCTGACTCTTCAGCTAAGGCGGATACAGTGACTCTCACGCTGGCCCTGCTGCGCCGCCTGAATCCAGCAGGACGCCACGCTCGGCCCTCGCTGGCTCAGATGCAGGGTCCAGCCCCCCCACCATGGGTCCCAGGGCAAGCTTCCCCTCCCTGGGCTTCCCAGATGCAGTCTGCGCCCTTCCTGCAGCCCCGGGGGCCACTCTTAGCTGTTGATCCCTGCTGCCTTGCAGGCTACGGCCATTCTTAGCTGCTTCCCTTTCTGCTGTCTGGCCTGGGCCCTCGAGGTCAGCCCCTCATTGACTTGTCACTTTGTCTCCCAGGCCCCGCCTGTCCCCCCTTCTCCGTGGTCGTTATTCACTAGGGGAGGGGGTCAGCCAGCCCTTTTCTCTCTCTCGGACAGCTGACTCCTGACCCTGCACTCCCGCATTGCCCAGCTGTTGATGGCCAGAGCTCTGATTTGACCTTGTCTCTTAACTGATGTACCTTTTGGGGTCTGTCTGCCCGCTCATCGATGATCTCCAACTTGGATAGGAGGGCGGGTGGAGTCACCCAGGCCTAGAGCAGGTCCCCACATTCTCTAAAGGCCCATTCTCTAAAATTGGGGATCCCATCCCCGACTCCGGGCCTTCTTGGCCAGATCCTTGGGGCAGCTGCCAAGTTTGGGGCCAGAGTAGGGAGCCTGGGATTCAGGGACTGAGGACAGAGGTCTGAGGGGAGGCGGAGGAAGTTGGGAAGACTGCCTTGCTAGTGTGGGGCAGGGGGTGGGGAAGGATAGGACAAAAGACTTCTAGCCAGGTACTCAGAAGCCCCAGGTGCGGTCTGCTCAGAGCACAGGTCTCCTGTGTCTCCTAAAGGAAGAAGCCTATCTCTGGAGGCTTTTCTTTCCCCCATCTGCCCTTGAATGTATCTGCAAGGCTATGTCACATGCCATCCTGCTGGCTGGGGCTTTAAGGCCATCGACCTGATGGATCGAGAGCCTGGGGGCTGCTTTTCATCTCAGTTAGATGAGATGCCACACCCTGGGTGTGTGTCTGGGACTGGTAGGTGGGAAGTTCCAGGAGCTCGGGTCCTGTTTCCCCACCCCCACCCCCTCCCCACGTGGATCCCGCCGGTTCTGTCCCTGAGCTCTGGCAGCCAGGGGCTTGGTAGCGACCCTGGGGCACTGTGGCCAGTCGAGGGGGGAAGATGCTTGTGAAAGAGCTGGCCTTGGTCCCACTGTCTGCAGAGAGTGCCTGTGTGTGAAAGGGGAAGAGGCTGGAGGTGGGACGAGTAGGGGGTGTCGGTCTTCTTCCTGGGGCTCGAGGCATAACATGGTGAGACGGAGAGGTGCCCCCTTACCTGCCCTGCCCAACCCCGAATAGCCTGTGGGGTGGAGACTCCCTCCGGCTGGTCCTGGTCGGTGGAGGCCACGGGGCGAGGGGGGAGCCGTTATGGCTCCTGGGGAGCTTTAGCTGCCAGGCAGCAGGCGGGTCCTGATGGCAGAGCCCCCCAGGTCTGCCAAGGGGGACGGAGACCACTGGGATGACTCAGGATCGCACGCTGGCGTGGGGAGATTCTTGACGCATGATATCATGCTCAACAGATGATTCCAGTTAGTCTAGAAGAGCCAATGGCATTGAGGTTGAACTTGGCTTGGGGGGGGTGGGGTGGGGAGAGGAGGTGTTTACCTCCCTACCCATGGCGCCTGGCCTCTCCTCTTTTTGCCTAGGTGCCCCCCACCCCAAGGTGCTGCCCTCAGCTTTCCTGCCCAGGAGTATATCCCCCCACCCAGACTTCCGGGGCCTGGGCCCCGGTGATGGTATCATGCCCGGTGCTCCCAGCCGTCTCCTTGGCTTTGCCTCCAGGTGTTCTTGTGAAGTTCATCCCCAGGTTGCAGCCAGAGTGATGGTCCAGGTGGCTCCAGTCGTAAAGAACCTGCCTGCTGGTGTAGGCACAGGCAAGAGGTGTGGGTTCGATCCCTTGGTGGGGAAGGTCCCCCGGAGAAGGGAAGGGAGGCAGCCCACTCCAGTATTCTGTTTTCACTCATTTTGAATTGAGTTGCTTTACAGTGTTGCGTTGGTTTCTACCCATGGACAGAGGAGCCCTGCGGGCCACAGTCCGTGGGGTCGCAAAGAATTGGACACAACCACGCGCACGCGCACACACACAGTAATGGCCCGGAGTGGATCTACCGCTTGGTGCCTGAGCCAGGAAGGGAGGTTTGCCTGGGTGGTTGGAAAGTGGAAGGAAGAATGGAAGCCGCTCTCTGTCCTCCAGGAGCCAGGGTCGCCGGGCCCAGGGGGAGTCTCCCTTCTCCCCTCGTGGGGACAGGCAGCCTGGCAAGGCCGTGTCACCTCCCATCTTGCTGTGAGGAGCCGGCTGAGGGCCCTCCTCCCGCCACCTGCTCCCAGCCAGGCCGCTGGAGTTACACTGGCATCGAGGCTCCCACAAGGACGGGGTGGGCTGAACCGCCCTGGGGGCCGCCGATGACGTCATTCGGTGGCCACTGAGCACCCTCGTCCTGGCCTTTTAAACCCTCACCGGACTGACGCCAGGTCGCGGGAGAGATGGAGGAGGGCGTCTCTGGTTGACACCTCAGAGAGGGCCTCTCTCGCCCCCCAGTGGTGAACAGAAGCACAGCAGTCACGCTCAGCCGGTCAAGGCCTCCGCCGTCGTAGTCAAAACAACCGGGATAACGCGACCCGCCAGGGCCCTGTAATCTGCGGCTGCAAACCTGCTTAGCTCAGAACGCTTCCTCCAGTGACATCTTCCTGAGTTGATGAACGTGGAGCACTTCTCTTGCCCTTGCCTGGGCTAAAGGGCCTCCCGGAGGTCCTTGAAAGACGTGGGGAGAATCTCTGTAGGGTCCCAGAGCAAGAGCAGGGTTGGTGGGGGGGGTGGCGGCGGGGGCGGCTGAGGATGGAATGGGTTCCGTCTCTTGGACGTCAAAGCCTAGGCTCCCTCCGCTGGGCATTTCTTCCGTTTCTGATGGGAGAGACGACACTGAGTTCTTAGTGGGGCTGGAGGTTGGGGGGGAAGGCTCCCTTCGCCTTCTGAGGAGTCCTCCGGCGCACTGGGTGCCAAGTCCAGGCGCCTGCAAACCCAGCAGCAGACGCTAGACAAAGCCGCTTAACCTCTGGAGATTTCACCGGTAAAAGCCAGTGTCCTGAAACAGGTGAATTTTACCTTGTTTTTGCTAATCCTGGGCCAAGTCAGCAAACTGCAGGAACGCCGTCAGGGCTGGTCGGTGGAGATGCGCCCTTTGCCTGCCCCGCCTCACCGGGAGGGCGGGGGTCAGGTCGGGGCTGCAGGTGTGTGGGCCTGCCCCTTGGCTCTGGCTGCCCCTACTCTTGCAGGAATGAATACGGTCCATCCAGCTTCCCTTTGATTGCCTGTATACTCATGTCGTCTTTCTGTCTCCCCTACCCCCACGTCCCCATGGGACCTCAGCTTCTCCTGTCCCTGACAGAGCAGCAGGAGGTGGTGGGGACTTCATGAGGCCGTGTTCCTGTCTCTCTCACACACACACACACACACACACACACACACGATCGGGAAGGAGCCTCCAGGCCCAGAGCAGATCCTTCATTCTCTCTGGGCTCCCATGCACCTTCCCCTGAATCACTGCAGATGCTGAACACAATCTGTGACAGAACTGCCCACCCCCCGGGCCTTCCCTGGCGGTCCAATGGTTAAGATTAAGTGTTTCCACAAGGCAAGGGGTTACAGGTTCAAGCCCTGGTAGGGGAACTAAGATCCCACAAACCATGAGGTGTGGCCAAAAAACTACTGCCCACCCCCCATCCCGCAGCAAGTCCCAGTGTTAGGAATAGTGGGGGGTGATGGTGATGGCGGTTGATGTGAACTGGGAGCAGGGTGCTGCTCTCTTGGTTGAATCCTCAGAACTACCCTAGGAGGTGGGTATAATTATTACCCTCATTTGCAGGTGAGAAAACGGAGGCTCAGAGAGGTCGGGTGACTGGCCCGGGAGACCTTCAAGCAGCTGGTGGGCAGTGGGCTACCAGCCTCCACGGCCTCCGTCTTCCAGTCCTTCGAGCTGCGTGGCCCAAACCCTTCTCACCAACTAGGGGAGGCCTGCGTGGCTCCACGTGGATGCTCCTATCCATGTGGGGGTATCTCCCTTCTTAGGAGATGTATCTTTAGAATGAACCCCCCTGTGTTGTATTTTTATGTCCTATATTTGGGGGGCAGGGGACCATCCATGGTGCCTGGAGCGCGGGGGAACGTGATCCGAATGGGTCCCTGCTCAGCTAACTGCCTCTCACTCTGCTGAGGGTCGGGTTGTTCAGGAAGTGACACACACCTTATGCTTCCAGGTAGAGAGCTGAGGGTGGAGGGAGACGCTCACCCCTGATCGTGCCTTCAGCACCAGAATACAACTTGTCAGCATTTCTGAGCAAGCGACTTAGAGATTCAGGGGAGATTGTTACGTGATATTTAATTTTTGCTAAAATAAGTTTTCCCCACCCAGTGGTGGGGAAGTTTACATGTATCTTTGTATCTTCTAGTTCCCCTATATTCATGTACATTTATGCCTGTTTATATATTAATGGGTGGTTGCAATCTTGATCATAGCACACACTCATATAGTTTTTTTTTTTTTTGCCCCCCTCCTCACCCAGGTAGGTATTGTGACTATTTCTTCATCCAGTTCCATAGCTGAAAGTTTAAGGTTTCCAGAAATGGCTGAATGGGTTGGGTGGAACTTTCCATGGTTGAATGTGGAGGTTAGCTAACAGTAGCTAGGACAAAGACCAGACCAGGTGTTTTATTAGGTATTTTCCTCTCTGCTGTTTCCCCGATCAGCAGAGAGGGGCGTGTCTCTGGGTGTAGTCTTGGGGCAGCCCCTGAGGCCATGCAGAACTGCCGGATCGAGAGACTTGTCTTGTGACTTCCTGCCTGGTGGAAGCCAGGGTGTCTGCTCTGTGGTGACCTAGATGGGTGGGATGGGAGTGGGTGGGAGGGAGGCTCTCCATATATACATGGAGAGGGGATCCATGTATGTATACAGCTGATTTGCTATGTTGTACAACAGAAACTTAATACTGTAAAGCAGTTACATTCTAATTTTTGTTTTTTTCTAAATAAAAGTCAGTTAGACCTGGAGGGGCCCCTGGGAGATGAGCCAGCCTACTGCCTTTAAACTTTTTGACCTAAACCATAAGGGAAGAAATACATTTTATAACACCACTTGGGATGCCTCATCAGTGTACCTCAAATTGATACAAGAGTTTCTGCAGACAGTGTTGACTCTCCACCACACACCCTCCTTCCTGATACTTTTATTTTGTTCAGCACAACAGCAACAACAGAACATGCAGGTCGCGACCCACAAGTGAACTTGGTGATGGGTACTGAGTTGCAAGGGAAGTTAGAAAAACTAACTTAAGGTCGGGAGGGAGGGCATGACTGGTCCAGGACCCCCAGGGGGCTGAACCTGGCTTTGCAGCGCTCATGTCACCTCCACTGGATTAACCCAGAGGAGAGTAGCCAGCTGCTCAGAGTCCGGCAACTCAGCGAAGTCTGCTTGGCTTCCCTTGCTTCATAGGTGCAGTCATCGGGGGTCAGGGGACCATGTCTCTCAGTATTCCCCCCCCCCAAACAAGGGAGTACAGTCCTCTGGGCACCCCCTGGACCTTCCACCCGCACCCCCTGGCTTCTAGAAGTTGGTTAATTTGCTAGAAGTAGGGGTTGGGTGTGCAGGTAGTGGGATGCAGAGATAGGCAGTGTGTGGACTGTGCTTCTGGGCTGAGGCTTGGGCACTGGGGGAGGGGGAGGGGGCCAGGAGGCGGGGACTCCTCCTGCCCCACCTTTCCCTGCCAGCTGCTCCCACCCCAAGCCCCTGTGGGCCCAGGGCCACAGGCTGGCTGCTGACTCTGCATTGTGAATGTCTGGTGGGGGGGGTGGGGAGCTAACAAGGTTTTTGGGCAGAAAAACACTGCCGGGACCCCATGTGAAGAGACCTACAGCAGAGAAGAGGGAGGGAGGCTGGCTTCGTCACCACCCAGGGGACAGAGGAGGCCCCGCGCAAGTCACCGCGCAGCAGGCTTTGGGTGGGATGTTGTGATTTACATCCCTCAAGAGGTGGAGATGGTGCCCGGACTAAGACAGGAAGGCCACGGAGAAAGACAGCCAGCCAGGCCTGCCGTGTTCATGGAGTTCGGCCAGGAGGGGTGGGGAGCGTGTGCCTCGTTGAGCCACCCAGCACGGTTTCTAAGGATGCCCCTCACTCGATGTAGATCTTGGAGTCAGCAGTAAAAGTGCCTCCATGGAAAATGTTGATATGCTAGCAAGAGGGAGAAGCTATAGGTTAAACTGTTTCTGTGGGCTCAACCCAATGCTCAGGTTGGGGTTTTTGGTTTTTGGTTGTTTTTTTTTTTTTTAATATTTATTTAGCTGCACTTGGTGTTCATTGTGGCACGTGAACTCTTAGTTGCGGTAAGTGTAGTCTAGTTCCCCGACCAGGGATCGAACCCATGCCCCCAGCATTGGGAGTGTAGAGTCTTAGCCACTGGACCACCTGGAAAGTCCCCTGTGCTGGGATTTGAATTGGGGACGCATGTCCTCCCTCCGCAGCAGCCCCCACCCCAACCTTCCACTTTTTGGGTGGTGAATCACATGGGTTCTAACGCCTCCGTGGGACCAGGTGGCACTTCTGCTATCCGTCTTCCGAGCGGAGAAGCACCTGTCTCCACCCTGTCGTGACCTCCCTGCCTCTCATCCCCGCAGACTTCAAGTTCGCCATGTACCCGCCATCGATGATTGCAACTGGAAGCGTGGGGGCCGCGATCTGTGGGCTTCAGCAGGACGAGGACGTGAGCTCGCTCACTGGAGACGCCCTGGTGGATCTCCTGGCAAAGATCACCAACACCGACGTGGTAGGTGGCCCCTGTCCCTCCTGGCCGAGACCAGGCGTCTCGTCCGTCTGCTTGGGGAAAGAGACAGTTGGTGGGATTGGTGATGTGTCAAAGGTTCCTTGTGGCAGCTGGCTTCTCTTTGCCGAGACTACGGCCTCCGACGTTGTACAGAATTCAGCAGGTAAGGCTGCCTCTTCAGGTTTCAGCAGCCCGTGTGCCCTCAAGATAGAGGGGAGAACTTAGCAGGCAGATCCGAGGCGGGAGGGAGGCCGCTGACTGCTTTCCTGTATGGCCCGGGCTTCCCCGCGGGTCTGATTTGTTGCTTGTTTCCATTTATGTACAATCCCCAGCCTGCCTCTCCTCCAGCGTGGAGCCTTCTCGCCTGCTCACACACGCTGAGGCTGGCAGGCAGGGCCGGAGCGGGGGGCCCCCCTGCACCACAGGGCGTGGGAGAGGAGGGCCCCCCCACTCCCGTGAGGAGGTGTCCGCCTCCACTGACCTCTCAAGCCCTCGCGCCTGCCTCTCATTTCCCTTTAGTTCATTGTGATGATGGATTAAAAAGCACTTTAAAAAGAGTTAAGTGCCATGCAAACGCAAGGAACTATTATTAGCTATAGATTTTTCCATTCTGGGTGCCCCATGGACAGTTCAGAGGCTGTTACTCTGGATGCCAGAATTTGAAGCTCTTTAGAAGAAAGAGAGGTTTGGGGGAGAAGCCAGGGTCCAGAGAGGCTCTGATTCAGCTGGTTGGAAATGACGGTCCTTAGAAGGTCCAGGCCAGGGCGATTCTACGAGGTCAGAGAGGTGGAGAGGCCAGGGTCACCGGCCAGGGACTGGAACCCAGAGGCTCTGACGCCCGGGCCTGGGAACCCTGCATTCCTGCCTGGCTGCAGCTCCTGGGATCTTTTTGTTTGAAAAAGGCCTTTGGCTTAAAGCAACCCGGGAGAGGGGTGTCAGCTCCGAGGCCCTCTCGAGTTACCATGGAGAAGCTCAAGAATGCAAGGGACTTCGTGATGACCCCCTCTGGATGGTCAGGGGGATTCTGAGTGCCCTGCTGGGGTAATATATTGAGTTACAAGGGAGAATGTGGTTTACCAGTCTGAGGCCGGTGCCTCCTCTGGCAATGCTGGGCAGAAGGGGTAAATGTCAGCTCGGCAAAGGCTGAAGTCCTCTTGCTTTCTCCCCCACCCCCTCTGTAGATTTTGCCCCAACCTTTATTACCATCTCACGGAAATGGCACAGAGAGGGGTTCTCCTGGTTGCTTTTCAGATGCTGCCTCCAAACAGGGTTTTTTTTGTTTTTGTTTTTAATTTTGTTTGTTTTTTAATTGAAGGATAGTTGTTTTACAGAATTGTGGTTTCTGCCAAAGTGGGTAAAAGAATCCACTTGCAATGCAGGAGATGCGGGTTCGGTCCCTGGGTCAGGAAAATCCCCTGGAGGAGAAAATGGCAAACAAGCTTTTGAAGCATGGTTTCCCAGGTGTAGATCGAAAAGACCCTCACAGGCAGAATGCGTTTCAAATCCTCTAGAGGCAAATCTTGGACAGAATTTATTAGGATTTATAGAAATGATATGCTTCCTTCCTTTTCTGAACGTCTCCTCTTAAGGCTGCCTTGCTGAAAGGATTCCTAACCAGCATCAGACCAGCCCCTCCTCGACCCCCAGAGATAAAACATGTCAGTGACAAGAGTTTTGACCCCCACTTCAGGCATTGTAACCTCCTTCGGATATTTACAGACACGTCCTCACGGTCTGATGGCCCCACGGGGTCTCCAACTTTCTCCGCATCTCTCTGTCACCCCTTTGTGGCTTCAGATGGACAGAGGAGGTTCCCAGGGTATCACCGGAGCTCGTGGGCTGTGCCTGGCTTTTCACGCCCGCAAACCAGTCTCTCACTTCATGCTGGAGACACTGCTGGCCTCTTTCAGACACTATTTCGCTCGGCCATTCAGACTAGGTCAACTGAGTACAGCCCTAGCTTAAAGGGTCCTTCTAAAAATTGCAGCTATTGATGGAGATGGTGCACACACATGCTTCAATCTCCACGGTGGGTCTGGGGCTGAAACATTTTGATGTGAAATCCTGAGCACGCATGGACCAAGTGTTCAGAGAACAGATGGAGACCTCAGGCATTTCCAGCTTCCCCTCGGATCCCCAGGCCTGGCTCCTGCTCTCCCAGGGCGCGTCTGTCCCCTGTGCCTCAGCTGTTGTGTGTGTGTGTCCTTGGGCACCGAGTCCTCTCTCCCATCAGTCTGGATTCTCTGGAGGGCTCTTGTTTAAAACAATATTTAATAGAGAATTATTTGACTCAATTTCATATTCAGTGTTCAAACGTTAGTTGCTCAGTCATGTTCCACTCTTGGGGACCCCGTGGACTGTAGCCCACCAGGCTCCTCTGTCCATGGAATTTTCCAGGCAAGAATACTGTGGTGGGTTGCCATTTCCCTCTCTAGGGAATTTCAGTGTACAGTCTTTGAAAGAAATAGAAATAACAGGGAGAAGTAACAGCAAATGCATCCTCTAATTGGGCTGATACCCACATCCAGACTCGAACTGCACTGGGCAGTTCCGTATGACTGCAGTCTGGAGCCCCAGTTGGGAAAAGGCCCCAGGTGGTGCCTGCACCCTTCGGGTAAGACTTCAGATTGCAGCTTTCAGGGCTCCCGCTCACAATCCCAGGTTGAACACTGAGATCATCAGCTCTGGGTTTTAACTTTTTTTTTTTTTACAATGCTGTTTGTTTCACCTTGTGAGTCATAATCTGGAGAGCCCTGGGGGCCGGCTGTCACCTTGTGAGCAAGGCAACACAAATGAGCAAGGCACAGACCCGAGGCAAGCGTGGGAGAAGCCCGGGGGTGGGTGACACGTGGAAAATAAAAGATGAGCTTCCTGTCTTCAAGGAACTCAGCGAGTGTGTGGAGAGAATCAACAGTAAAACACCTAAACTCCCAGCAGATGACGAGCAAATGAATGGATGCTAAGCCGGTGTGAGGAACTAGAGGTGTAGTAGGAAATCAGCCCATGGGCAGGACTCTCCGGGCCTAATGTGAAACTCAGGGAAAAGCATCAAGTTTCATCACTTGATGATAGAAAATGTCCTTGGGATGGAGAAAGAAAATATGGTCTGTACATGCCATGGTCTATTGTTCACCCTTAAAAAGAAATGAAATTCCGATGTATGCTACAACGTGGGTGTGCCTTGGACATGTTAAGCGAAACAAGCCAGATACCAAAGACCAAATATGATTCCACTTACCTAGAATAGTTGAATCCATAAGGACAGAAAGTAGGATAGAGGTTCCCAGGGACCAGAGGGTGGGGGAAAGGGGAGAGTGGTTGTTGATGTAAAGATCTGGAGAGGGTGATGGTCACACAACACAGCGAAGGAACTTAAAGCTAACACACTGCATTTAAAAGAGTTGAAGATGGTCAGTGTTAGGTGGTGTATATGGGGTTGGCCAAAAAAGGTTATTCAGGGTTTTCTGTAAGAGTGAAATTTTTGGCCAACCCAATGTTTTGCCTTCACAGAAAGTTGTAGTTGTACATGTAGACCCTCGGACCGCACTGAAGGGCCCAGGGGTTTGCATTGAGTCCTCCCGCGGGGAAGCCAGGCGCTCTGACCACCGTGTGCCCCACGGGCCCTGATGCTCAGACAGCTAGGAAATCGGGGTGCGTTGGCCTCTGAGTCCAGAGTCCCCGCAGCTGTGTGTCAGCCCTGTGCACCCAGAGATCCCAGACCCGCTGATGGTGTCCTCTCTCTGTGGATTGTCGCGGATCTGGCTGCGGAAAGAGGGTCCCCTCGACTCCCCTACCCCAGGACAGCCAGACCCACCCCTCTGGCTCCTTGGCTGGCGGCAGTGAGCTTTGATAGGAGGGACGCATGCGGCCGTAGAAAGCCATGTTCTGTTGCTCGCTCTGGTTGCCAAAATAAACCGGAACGCTTCATGCCAAAGAGAAAGCTGAGTGAGAAGGCTGACAGTTTTACAGGGAATAAAAGTCTCAGAGGGTGGTGTATTTTAAGTAGTCTTTCCTTCCACTCATGAGGGTTGCTAAAAACAGACACCAGCCAGAGAGGCTGTGCTGGCTTTGGGGGACTGTCCACCGGGGCTTCCGTTGCCAGGGGTCCGCTTGCGAAGGGAGAACCGACTGGGCCACTTCCCTGGCAGAATCGGGGTTCCTCTTCCGTCCCCTCGGCATCCTGCTCCGCTTGGCGCCCGCCTTTATCTCCTTGTTCACTTGTCTATAGACTCTTGAATGAGACCCAACTTTGACTCAGTCCTTTCTCTCCGTATCCCCTGGCAGAGTCATCGGGGAATGATGCTGGGGTGGGGGGAGGGAGGGAAAGGGGACAGAGAGCTGGCAGGTGGATGTCGAGTGTGTTTCCCCTGCTCTGGTCTCCCCAGGTCTCTTGGAAAGTGAGAGAGGACTTAGCATGTCAGGGTCCCTCGAGTTTTACCTGGCTTTCTCCTAGAGCGAGTCACTTCACTGTCACGTGACACCAGTTTCCTAAATCCCTAATGAGTGAGTAGAATGGGGCTCACAGGCCTTGAAAATGTGAAGTTATCGGAAGATAGTTAACAGAACAGGTATGGACTCAAGTCATCCTGTCATTGTATATATCCTGTTCTACCTAGATGATATCAAAAGTCTGTTGCATTCTTTTTTTAAGATTTTCTTTTTTAATGTGGACCAGTTTTAAAGTCTTTATTGAGTTTGTCACAACATTGCTTCTGTTTTATGTTTCGCTTTTTTGGCTGTGAGGCATGTGGGATCTTAGTTCCTGGACTAGGGATCGAACCCAGGTCCCCTGAATTGGAAGGCAAAGTGTCAATCAATTGAGACTCAAAGTCTCAATCTCAAAGTCCTGGTTCCACTGGACCATCAGGGAAGCCCCTCTGTCTCAGTCTTAAGTAGCTCCCAGAGAAGTTCCAGGACATCCCTCCCCTAGGGTTATCCTGGCATATTAGCATCCTATTGCCAGTGAGCTATTACAAAACAGCCTGAAGTGCCAGGGGAGATGTGATTAAGACTGGGCTTCCCAGGAGGCTCCGTGTTAAAGAACCCCACTGCCAGTGCAGTCGATGCAGGAGATGTGGGTTTGATCCCTGTGTCAGAAGGATTCTCCTGGAGGAGGAAATGGCTGCCCACTCCAGTATTCTTGCCTGGAAAATTCCATGGACAGAGGGGCCTGGCGGACTATGGTCTGTGGGGTCAAACAGAGTTGGACGCAACTGACGTCATCTTGGTCCCCGGAGCCTTCGTGAGCACACCTTCTCCCGGAGACCTCTGTGTTCCCGAGACTTGCCTTTCGTGGACGGGACCGGGTCTGTGTGGTCAGGGGCCTCCTGAAGAGTGGCTGGAGGAAGGGAAGCCGGGGGCGGGGCGGCAGAGGAAGCAGAGTTGGAGCTGACGCTTCCCCGCGCGCCTGCCTGATTTTCACTGCGGGCCTCATTTGGTATTCAAGGAAATAAGCCCAACAGGCTGCGAAGAAAGGAAGAATGAGATAGTTTCCTAAGTTGTCTGTGCCTGAGTTGGCCGCGGGTCTGGGGCTCATTCAGCCCTTTGTCCCCCTGTTGAGTGCAGTGCGTGTGTGGTGACAATGCCCTGATGCAGCGACACTGGGGGCCGATGGTGACAGTTCCGCAGCCCATTCACCCAGGCCGAGGAGGGTGCAGGGCGCGGGGCTGGAGCCAGCAAGCGGAGGAAGTCGGGGCCCGGGGGACGGAGCCCGGCATCACAAACGCGGCTGTCAGGGCTCCAGGGGCCGGGGCAGGCGGGCGGAGGGGGCCCAGCCTCGTGGGGCTGGAGGCCTGCCCGACCCCCAGCGCTGGGGAGTGCCACCTGTCCAGGCTGACAGACGAGCATTATGACTCTCCTTCTAATCAGCTTAATTTGGGGCATCTCGACACAATGGCTGGTGCTTTTGGAGGCTGCTGAGGAGCAGAGGGCCCCGGGGCGTCTTTTCATCTGAGGCGCTGTCGTGGGGGTTTTCCAGGCCACTCTTGGGCTGTGTCTGCCTTTCCTGGAGATTCTCTGGTCTGTCTTTCCTTGGAACCTGGAAGGAGCAGAGAGGTGCAGTGGGAAGAGAGTTCTGGAATAGGAAGCTTGCCCTCTGAAGGCCGGGTTTAACTTCTGACTACATGTGACTGGGGGACGAGCCAGCTTCAGTTCGGTTCTCTAAGCTGGGAAGTGAGGGCTGCTGGCTGTTACAGTCCCCCTGGAGCCCCTAGTCACCCCCTTGTGTCACCCCAAGAACCCAGCCCAGGAAAACACTGCCATGACTCTTCCCCAGCTTTGCCTCTGTTCCCTTCAGGCTCCGCAGCTTGTCCCCCGTCTGCTTGTCTTTTCCATCCATAGGCTTGGCCTCCTCCCTCTGGGTCACACCCTCCACCCTGGTCCCCGCTGGGGAGATTGAGAGCCCCTTGGGCAGGACTGGGGCTGGGGGGACTGGGTGGGGGTGCAGGTCTGCTGCAGGTAGGGGCACCAGCCCACCCTCCCTCCAGCTTCACTTGCCAGCAGCTCACAGGAAACTCACACAGTCTTAGGAAGTCCACCAAGGGGAAGGGCTCCTGAGATGCTGAAGGAAGGTGTTAAAATGCAGGGAGTGGGGAATTCCCTGGAGGTCCAGTGGTTAAGACTCTATACTTCCACTTCGGAGAGCACAGGTTCTATCCCTGGTCTGGTAACTTAAGATCCCACATGCTGCATGGCCAAAAAAAAACTATAGGAAAGAAATGCAGGGCATGAACTCCATTCTCCAGGAAGAGGGAGGCTGATTTCTTACCTTCGTGCCACTGTCAAAGGAGAACATCAGCATCCTTTATGCAAAAGGAGCTCTTGCCCTCTGGTAGATTTTCATCTAGCCAAGAGCGACAGGTCCCACAGTTGAAACTCAGATGCTGTCAGCAGTGGAACCAGAGGAGGGTCAGAGTGCTTCCTAAGAATAGGGGACACAATTGACCCCTGAGAGCCTTCGCTTCCTGCTCCATCCTCATTGCTGGGACAACTGCTGTGGTCCTTCCTTTTCTCTTGAAGTAAGATGTATCAAAGAGGAAGAGCTGGCCACTGTCAAAAATGGTTACATTGACTGGCGGAAGGAGACTCTGTGTTTTGTGTGAAATCTTTCTTCATTTTATTCAGGAAAACGGTTTGGGGCTGCAAGTTACATAAATATGACGTTCGATGCCTGTGTTATCTCAAAGTCCCGTAGAAGTGACTGCCTGGTGTACCAGCCCCGCCCCGAAGGACTTTCTCAGAACTCTTCCTTTAGGGTCTCAGGCTGCTGGGAGGGAAACCTGAATACCAGGAAGAGCAGGCACCTGGGTGACCCCCAGGGAGACTGTCCTTGGCCCCCTATCAAGCTGCTTAGCTCCCGCCATGTTCAGAGGACCGCCTGTCTCAGCTGCTGGTGTGGCTAATGCAGAAATGATCATGGCGTCCTGGGTTCATCATGTTGCTGGGTGGCAGTTGTGTTGATGCAGAAACAGAATCATGGAGGAAGGAAAGTCGACGGTTGGCGGGGAGCTTCTTAGGGGACCAGCTAGAGCAGTTTTGACTGTCGTCAGTCTTTGCCTTGTTAACCTGATGGGAAGAGTGAACTCACTGGAAAAGACCCTGATGCTGGGAAAGACTGAGGGCAGGAGGAGGAGAGGGCGACAGAGGATGAGATGGTTGGATGGCATCACCGACTCAATGGACGTGACTTTGAGCAGACTCCAGGAGATAGCGAAGGATGGGGAAGCCTGGTGTGCTGCAGTCCATGAGGTTGCAAAGAGTCAGCTTCCCTGCTGGACGCTCCATCCCCAGTGCCCGTCCCATTGCCCCCGTTACCTGTCATGAGCAAATGCTCACTCGTACCTCATTTCAGAGAAACCTCAAGTTCTTTCAGATTCCAAGACTTCCTTTTTGTAATGAATGATTAGAGCTTCATCTAGACATCTCCATTGATCCTCCTTCTGTGAGCGTCTCCTGAGCCTTACTTTACAAATGGGGAAACCCAGGACAGAGAAGGAGAATAACTCAGCGGTGCCCACAAGTCTGGCCATGGGAACAACAGATGCCACCTCCTTCTGTCCGTCTTCACTCATTCTGAGTGGTATTTCATATCCTTCTGTCCCTCTTCACTCATTCTGAGTGGTATTTCATATCTGCTCTCAGCACTGGGTCTGCTGTCGCTCCATCTGTTAATTTTCCTAAAAAGCTGTGGTTTAACAGCATACGGTGGCTGAGAGATACAAAAGGAAAATATGGGGGCATGGAAACTTTCCTAGGAGCTCCAACTTTGTTTTAGATCTTTGGAAAATAGAGATAATGCCTGTGTGCTTGGCAGACTGCAACCTCTGGGCAGTGAAAATTGCATGGTGGAGCAAACACAGGGGGAACATACATGAAACTGTGGAAAGACCCAGGCAGAGTGGAGTTCACATATTTTCCATACGTTTACAAGAGTGCCAGGAAACCAAGCTTGATGAGTAGAGAGGTCGGGAGATGCTGAGTTGGCCAAAAAGTCCATTCAGATTTTTCCATAACATTTTACGGGAAAAGCCGAATGAACCTTTTGGCCTACCCACTCTCTGCTACGAACAGTTATTTCAGCTCACACCCCAGTTGCTAGTGCCAACCACCGTCTCACCCTGATGACACCTGTTAATTACTGCTGTGTCAATGTCACCCAGTTTAGAGGAGCTTCTGCCTGGGGCTGACATACCCTGAATCTTCCCTACCAAATATAGACTAATCTCAAAGCAGTGCTGCAGTTTTTTCTTTTTGCTTTCTCCCGAATTAGACGGCTCAAGTGTCCAGAACTTTGTAAACACTGTGTGTTGTACTTTTTGAGAGTTAAGGGAATGGTAAATAAATGGACAGACAAATTGGCTTGTTTATGAGCATTGCTGCAGTGGCTATGAGGCTCAGAATAGTTTAGTCCTTTTGCTTATATCTGTCTCTCAGGTGGTCTAGCGTTGTCACACTGTCTGGAAAGCTCACCTTCCCCTTTGCCCTCTCACCACGCAGTGTCTCCAAGCAGGAAGCATCTCGCTGGTCCTTGAGTTACCAGGTGCTGCATGGCCATAAATGGCCCCTCGCCTTGACCAGCGCTGCCTGGGCTTCTGCTAAAATGCAGATTCTGAGATGTGGCTGGTTCGGAGAGAGCTGAGAAGTGCATTTGTAACTAGCTCCCAGGTGGTGTGGATGCTGCTGGCCTATGGAGCTCACTTGGAGTGGTTCCCCAGCCACCAGGAAGACGCACCTCTTGTACATGTTGACTTTCTTTCTACTGGAAGTGGAGAAGGAATGGCAGCCCACTCCAGTATTCTTGCCTGGGAAATCACATGGACAGAGGGGCCTGGCAGGCTGGAGTCCAGGGCGTCGCAAGAGTCAGAAACGACTTAGTGACTAAACCACCACCACCTACTGGAGTGTGGAGCTGGGCGGGCTTGAATCTTGTGTGTTCTCTTTGTTGATTGCTCTGTGTCCTGTTGCCCTTGCTAACGGCTCTGGTCTCGATGCTTCTCCCTTCTAGGATTGCCTCAAAGCCTGCCAGGAGCAGATTGAGGTGGTGCTGCTGAATAGCCTGCAGCAGTACCGTCAGGACCAGGGCGACGGATCCAAGTCGGAGGATGAGCTGGACCAAGCCAGCACCCCTACAGATGTTCGGGATATCGACCTGTGAGGATGTGGGGCGGGCCAAATGGGAGGGTTGCGTCCAATCTGCTCTCTCCTTCTCTCTGGTTGTATTTGGCTCTCTTACGTTTTAGGATGAAACTTAAAAAAAAAAAAAAATTCTGCCCCCACCTAGATTCTATTGAAAGATCTTTTAGAAGTGAGAGATAAAGGTCCTATAAAAACGAAATCATTACAAGCATTTGGTGCCTATTTGAAGTACAACAGAAGGGAATCCCTTATATATGCCAACAGTTACTGTTTGATGTTAAAAGTCATAGTAACATGCTTACAGGAAAACCTGCAGAGTAGCTAGAGAAAAATATACGCCTGCACTATGGGAACAAGTTAGAGACTTTTTTTTTTCCATGTTATGAACTAGCACGTATGTACCCCTGTTAGGATAATTTGGAAGAACTGCGGATGCCATGTATGGCAGGATTGGATTGCGAAGCAATGAACTTGAGAAGGAATTAGAAATAAAGGAGGGACAGGATGGGGAGGGAGTGACGAATAATCTCAGCTCAATAGAACCATTTTGGATGGAGAAGCGCCCGACTCCCAACCAACTGTTGCTAAGTCAGGACCGATGCTGGGTCTCTAGTGACAAGTCTTGCTGTCTACAGTAGCTGCTACCTAAAAAGAGATGTTCTGTTTTGCCCATTGGACACAGGTGATTGGATCCTGGGTTTCTCATGTTTTTCGATACCTTGCTTCTTCTTCCAAACTTGGTTCATTGCAGATACCACCCCATTTTTATCTTAAAGGGGCAATCTAGCTATAGACCATCCCACAAACTCCGTGAAATGGAGGCAGATGGAGCCCCAGGGTGGGATCTGGAACTTTTTTTTTTTTCTCCTGAGGTGTTCAAGAGAGTAATGTGACCTTGGCATCCCTCATTAGGAAAAAAAACAAACTAATTTTTTTTGGTGCTGATTTGGGCATGTCCGGTCCACAGGTGAGCGTTGGTATAAACCATTCCATTCGAAAAGCACTTTGAAAAATTGTTCCCGAGGGGATAGATGGATTGGTTTATGCAAATCATACAGACTAGAGGCCTCCTTCCTCCTCCTGTGTCCCCTCCCCTCTTGCCCCCCGGTCAGGTTGCTGTCCTGTATCCAGCACTCTCTGGGTTCCCCTCCAGGGACTCAAGACACATCCCCTTCCGCTGAAATTCCTATGACAACATTCCTAAAAGCAGAGATCTGTAACCATTTTGATGGCACACAAGGATCTTAATTCCCACCTCTATACTTCGCCTTTGGACATGGAAAGAAGCATGATTGCTGGTGCAAAGACAGACAGCGGGTCATCCGTGTGGCATTTTGTTCCCGTTTCCGTTTTGTTTCTTTTGTCGTTGATTTCATTGCAAAGTTGCATTCAGCGTACTTGAACTTTTTTTTCCTCTCCACGTCTTAGAGGCATTCAGTTAGCAGAGAGGTTGAAGCACCAACTTTTTTTTTTTTTTTTGCACAATTATAATTGACAGGTAATGAAGCTATTAAAATATTTGCCTTTTTAAGTAAAAAAAAAAAATAAGATCAGAACAAGGCTACTCTGAAGAATTATTTTATACACAGATTTTGCCTTGTTTCATAGTATGGAGGGTTTAAGATGGAGAAAAATCTAAGGGTCTCTTATTTTTCATTTTATTATGTTCAGTTTTTTATTATTTTTTTTTTTTTTTGCGCTGCTAAGAAGCTAAGATCATTCATCGTTATCCACATTAACAGTACCTAGCTGTAATGTTTCACCGAGTGTGCTGCTATTATATAAACATTTTTATAATATATTATTTTACTGCTTAAACTTCCAAGTCCTGAAGTAGTTGGTTGAGATAGGAGTTCTTCGTACTGGAAAAGCCCTCTTCCATACATAGTATGTTTTCTTCTGGTTGCGTATTCATGGGTTTTTTTTTTTTTCCCTCTCTGATCACATCCTTCAAAGACAGAGTATTCTTTACCTCAGGTTTACTGGACAAAATCAATAGCTACGAAAGAAAATGGTTCACATTTTTGTTTTCATTAATACCTCACAACCGTACAGTTTCTGCTTGGGAGCCCATCAGTTAGGGAAGGCGGAGGGGGGAGGGGGCCACAGCCTCTCCCCGATGGAAGGTGAGGGTCTCACGCCCAGAGACCTCCTCAGCGGTGAAGGTCATCAGGCTTCCATTCTGACTCCGGTATCCTCATCATGATGGAAAAAATGCAATTGGACCAAGGGATTTCCCCTCCCCCGCAAGGCCGACACAGCGCTGAGTGATGCAGTGTGCTGGGCATGCAGCATCTGCACTTGGGTACCAGACAATTCCAGCAGGCTGTTTGTTCAGAGAGCCTCATCGGGCGGGCCTTTCTAAAGCACACCTGCTTCTAGTTCTCCTTTCACCTGGGAGGTTTCCCTTCTTTCGGCATGTTTCTCTCTCTGGCAAGTTTCTCTCTCCTGGATGTTGGCAGCCACCCCCCATCCCCCCAGGCCCCTGCCCCCTTCAGGACGATCTCAGAGGGTTTCCTAGGTCTGAACCTGCGGCAGGCAGGGTTGCCATGGGAACTGCTCCCACCTGTCTGGCCTGTGACAGGCAAAATCCTGGGGCAAGGGCGTGGTCCTCGCTGAGTGGCACTGAATGGTTTTCAGGTTTTAAATCGTGTGCTGAATTGGCATGATCGGGAAAACGGGTCGGGGTGAGTATCGGATCGGTGGTTGAAGGCAGGTGGGCAGGCTGCTTCTGTCCAGAGATGGAATCCCAGGTGAGTCAGGCTCCGTTGATGTGGGTTAGAAGGGTTTCAGGACTCGGTGAGTTACGTGATCCTGAGATGCTCAGGATTCCTGGTGGGCCAGTGGACAGTGAATTCTGAGGTTTGGAGGAGAAAGGCTGAGCGGCCTGTGTTTTATCAAGAGGCCATCCTGCGTAGGCCCCTCTTCTGGGCAAACTGGGGTTGGAGGGTGGTCTGTGTGGTGGAGAAAAGCATGGGCCCTAGAGTTCTTGAGACTCTTGGGACCTAAAGAGAAAGGGAGGTATAGATCCCTCTAACAGTGACCAGCTGCTCAGCTCAAATGGGAGCAGCAAGTGAGAGGAATAAGGAAGGAGACAGGCCAACAGATCCCCCCGCGGTCTCACTCTCCATTTTCCCTGGAGCCCTCAGGGTCCCTGGGACCTTCTAGCTTTTTCTCCTTTTCTGCCTTGTGCCTAGCGTGATGGGAGGTGTAGGGTTGCAGGTGGGAAGGGTGCTAGGTAGCTTCTGCTTTCCTGCCTGCTCCTTCCTTACACAAAAGACGGGCCCCGGGCATTGTTGAACTGTCCTGTGCCCTCTCCTTGGATCTTGGATCTTGGTTTCCTCAGTAGGAGTTTCTGTCCCAGAGGAGTTCAGGTGCATTTCTTTTTTTTTTTTCCTCTTTCCTCCCGTGAAGGAGGTTCCAAACCTATTCTGGTTTTTTCCCTACCTTGTTGTCGTATCTCTCCTTCACTTTGTTCTCTTTATGTTTTTTTTTTTTTCTTCTTTTTTTGGTTGTTTGTTTTTTCTCCATCAGTGGGGACTGATTGTTCCCCTCACCGGCCAAATTTTGTTCCTTCCCCTATTTTGGCCAAATCTTAGGGGGTGAAAATCCTCGTATGCCAAAAATATATGCTGAACATAAGTCAGTTCCATGTGGATTGTTCATCCAGCCCAGAAGCCTGCAGGTGGGGGCAGGGGATGGGTGCCTCAGCAGACTGCACCCCCCCACTTCCAGGCTGAGAGAAGGGGCTTCTGTCCATGGAGGCTGTCCTTTGGAACTGCCCCCACCCCACTGAGCAGCCAGCGTACCCCAGCCAGGTCCCCCTTGGACGGTGGGCTGTTCAGAGGCCCTATCCTTCCTCCTGTCCTCACTGGAGTTGGGCATGTGTGACTCGGGAGGGGCGGCCCTTGGCTGCGGGCATCGGGGTCTTCCCTTCCGAGGAGGCTGCCACCACCCCTGAGGGTCCCAGGAGCCCTGGGATTGCCCGATGAGGGTGGCGGCAGGACTGGATGACTTTTTCTCAAAGAGGGCAGCAGACTGTTCTCCCACGGGCTACAGGGGGGACAGGGCTGGGAGAAGAAACAGACATGCACCTTATATCATGTAAATATACTGATTTTTCTAGTTCAAGAAGAGAGAATTATTGGTAGAGTGGGAATGGGAGATAAGAATGGGCAGGAAATCTTGAGTGAGCCAGCTGGCTTCTAAGCCAAAAGGGTTCCTCCGTGTTTATCTTTGAGACAGTCCAACCCCGAGAATAGCTTTAAAAGGGAAATCAGTGCTGAGACGGTGAAGTCCCTTACCCAACACGCGCCCTGTAGCTTTAGAACGAACGCAGGCTCCTCAGCTGTGGGCTCCGTGTGGTTCCCGTCACCCGTTGGTGTGAAACAAGGCGGGAAATTCATTAGGATGTTTATGGCTTCTTCATCCCATCTGGCTTTTCCTGGTTCTGGATTCTAATAAACAACCCGGAACAGTCTCTTTCCTCCAGAACCACTGTTCTGCATCCCGGTGTCTCCGCTTCTAGACTCGCCTGGGCCCTCAGACCCATTTCTTGGCTTAGGTTTCCAGAAGCCTTCAGCAGACGTGTACACGCGTGCTCTTGCTGTCGCATTTATTCTTTTGCCTGCAGCCTACTTTGGGGGGAAAAAAAGTGCCTTACTGACTGTAGCCATTACAGTAGCCAGTGTATTTTCACAGATGCCTATCCTTTTTTTTTTTCCTAAGTTGGTTCTATTTCTTACTGCTCACCACCTCTGAAATCCCCAGCGTGTCACGGGGCCATTGGATTTTTTCCATTATGTTCATTACCCTTGTACCATGTACCTCAGATCTCTCTCTCTCTCAGTTACAGTTTCTCGTCCTTGACTTTCTTTTATTATTATTATAATTTTTTTTTTTTGCTTTAAACGAGTGTGATGCCATATTGAGTCAATGTTAATCTCTCACCATGTACTCTATAAGAGGTGTGGGTGTTTATTTGGTCGGCGTGCGAGCAAGTGCTAAAGTAGCATGATC